AAAACGCTTTAAGGGGAGGAAAATGAGGTCATTAGAGAGAGAAAAGTCATAAACGGTGCCCTGAGAGTCATATGGAGGACATTTCGGCAGTTACAGAGGTCAGTTCTTTAAGCGCCCATTAAGCATGTTAACTTTAATTTATGAGTTGTGGGGTAGCACAGTATTCTCAAATGTTTTATTAGCAAACATATTATTGTATTAACAGTATTGCTTTTTTCAAGTTGGAAACCGATCCTCAGCATTGGTCTTGTTTTCATAAAATGTAGCATAAATGTCTTGTTAGAGTCTTGAGGCAATAATATACGACTGACGAGTTATGAAAAACAGGAAACATGCTTCTCGAACCACTGAATGCAGAAGTTTTAAGGCATGCACCCTTCGATTATTGGCCCAAGTAGTGTTCAAATATAACTTTGAGCAAATTTGAATTGGTTTATCGGTGACACTTTACAATACGGTTCATTAGTTAACATAGTTAACCACCTTAGTTAACGTGAACTAAGAATGAACAATACTTCTACAGCATTAATTACTTTTTAGTTGATGTTAATTTCAACATTTACTAATACATTATTAAAATCAAAGGTTGTATTTGTTAACATTAGTTAATGCACTGTGAACTAACATGAACAAACAATGAATAGCCAACGCATTCTCATCCTTTGGCGTCATATAGGTGACGCCTGACAAAACGTCGAAATACTACGCACATGGCACCCTTTAGCGTGAATATAACACGCGAAGTGATGGGTAGGTTTAGGTGTGGGGTAGGGTCTGCGTCTCATATTCACGCTAAAGGATGCCAGTCAACTTTATGACGCCTTGGGTTCGCGTGTTATATTCACGCTAAAGGGTGCCATGTGCGTAGTATTTCGACGTTTTGTCATATAGCGTCACCTATATGACGCCAAAGGATGAGAACGGGCTGGAATAGCTGTATTTTATTTTATAAGATTAACTAACACATGTATAATTGCTCATTGCTAGTTCATGTTAGTTAATACAATAACTAATGTTAACTAATGAACCTTATTGTAAAGTGTTACCGGTTTGTCAGTATTTTTCCAGGTTCCCAGACATCCTGGTTCTGGATGGATGGATGGATGGATGATTGATTGATGGATTGATGGATGGATGGGTTGATGGATGGATGGATTGATGGATTGATGGATGGATGGATGGATGGATGGATGGATTGATGGATGGATGGGTTGATGGATGGATGGATTGATGGATGGATGGGTTGATGGATTGATGGATGGATGGGTTGATGGATGGATGGATTGATGGATTGATGGATGGATGGGTTGATGGATGGATGGATGGATTGATGGATGGATGGGTTGATGGATTGATGGATTGATGGATGGATGGGTTGATGGATTGATGGTTTATGGGTCGATGGATTGATGGATGGGTTGATGGATTGATAGATTGATGGATGGATGGGTTGATGGATTCATGGATGGATGGGTTGATGGATTGATGGATGGATGGGTTGATGGATTGATGGTTGATGGGTCGATGGATTGATGGATGGGTTGATGGATTGATAGATTGATGGATGGATGGGTTGATGGATTCATGGATGGGTTGATGGATTGATGGATGGGTTGATGGATTGATGGATGGATGGATGGGTTGATGGATTGATGGATTAAATAAAATTATTAATTTAATAAACCATTTATTTAATGAATTAATCGATTGAGGGGTTATAACACTCTGTGCATTGTAATTCTGCATTTAGAAAAAAGTCTTTGTCAAAATGAACTATGATCATTTAGCACAGACCATTCATTCATTCATTTAACAGTTGTACAGACGGCCATTGACCGGAGCAGCACAAATTCCAACACATCCGATGTCCAATGAACCCCTGGTCACATGGGACAATAGAGGGAGACTGAGCAGTAAATCTGAGTTGCAGCTGGTTTAATGAGCCTTGGCCAGCAATGAGAAGCCAGATTATATATGGTTATGAGGGTGTGTGAACGCCTACCTCATGCCCACCTAACCTTTGAGCCCAATTTATAGAGAGGTCCACGCGTAAATCTGTTACTCTAATCAGCTATTTGCATTTTTTATGGTAAATTGCTGACAGATGCGATCGATTGTTCAATGTTTGGTTTAATACAGGGCAGCCAGTGTTAAGAAGTGATCATTCTGATACCCCAGAACTTAGCTCAACTTCTTCCTGACTGTTCTTCTGTATTTTTAGTTCCTAGAGAAGTCAGCTGACTTCTGTTGTTTATGTTAGTCTTTCTTAAAGTAATAGTCCATTAAAAAATGTAAATGATATCGTCATTTACTCACCCTCAAGTTTTCCCAAATCTGTACGAGTTTCTTACTTCTGTTGAACACAAAAGAAGATATTTTGAAGAATGCTGTTAACCAGACAGTTGACGGTAGCCATTGACTTCCATAGTGGGGAAAAAATAATAATACTATGGAAGTCAATAGGTGCCGTCAACTGTCTGGTTAACAACATTCTTCAAAATATCTTCATTTGTGGTCAACAGAAGTAAGAAACTCATACAGGTTTAGAACAACGTGAGGGTGAGTAAACGGTGGCATACTTTTTTTTTTTTTCAGGTGAACTAAACCTTTAATAATCTGCTACATATAAGATGCTATAAAATATGTTTTAATACTTTGAAACATGTGCGTATTAGGTAAAGCCTATGAAATGGAGACCTGCAAAGGTTCTAAAAAACAAGTCAGTGGAATTTATAGTCTTACTGATGCCCTGCAGTTATTCCAGCAAAGCCACTTGTGAAAAACATTAACAGACTCAAAAGAATTCCGGTTCTGAAAATGATATAGTAAATTCAAATGTGGGCGTAAAAAAAAAAAGGTGTTGTGATTTGATGGGGAAGCTCATTACTTCCTCAGAGAAAATAAATATTAATTGTGATTTATAATCTCATAATTGAGAATTTATTTCTCAAAATTGTGACTTGTTTCACAACTGTGAATTTATTTCCTGTAATTGTGACTTCCTATATTTATATCTCACATTTCTTGTTCATATCTACAACTTGTTGTATTTTTTTTATCTCAAAATCGTAACATTTTCAAAAAAGTTAAAATGTTTACTTTATACTTCATCTAATACATTGGTGTATTGATGGAAATAGGCTTCCATAAGATTAAAACAGTTTTATTCTGCATGGTGGCTGTCATTTTGAGAACACTTGATACCCCTCCCAATTGATGCATAGTTTTGGTGGGAGAATAAATGAATGATGTGTAATAAACATGTCATTGAATAATATTTCTACAGTGGTAATGGTAACCAAAATTTTGCGCTTGTGTGATGCTGCTTCCACTCCAAAATCACTTGTCGCTTCATCATGTCTGAAACAAATTTAATCCCAGAATATTCCAAATTATGTTTTAGAAGGGTCTGTTAAAATAATCATGACATTTTCAAATCAGGAATTCAGAAGAACAATGATTTCCCATATGCGATGTTTCAAAATCAAACAATTCCTCAAAGCGACTTGCAAAATATTCATGGCTGTGGTAAAAAGAAGAACTTATTTTTTTTCAGAGATTCTGTTATTGTAGCTTAGGAAAATGTGGAATCTGACCCCATTTCCTTCCTTTTTTTTCCAGCTGTGTATGTTTCTCTTCTACACCCCCACCACCACCCCATCTTCTTTCTTTTCCTTTTTTTTTTTTTCAAGATTGCAACATCTGGTGAGGCTTTCTCACAGTAATCTCTGGAGCTAACAGGTCTGCTCTGCATCATAATGGAGCTTAGAACTCTTTATACACAGTTCCTCTATCGTTCACACACGCAAACAACTGCTCTGACAGGCACACAAAAAACACGTGGCTCCGGTTCCTGCGATGAGGTAATGCCTCTTGGCATGGGTGAAACAAGAGCTGACCGTGAATGGCGAGCACAATCTGTTCAGTGTAAACCTCAGGTAAAAAATAAGTGAAGCAATACAATAGAAAAGAAGGTAAAGCAATTATCACTGTTTTTGCTGCGCAGGAACTCGCGTGTATTCCGACTTTGACGTAACCCAGATACCGCAATACCTCACACATCAGCCCACATCGATAAAAGCTCCAATCTTTCCCGGCCAGATGTTTACTCCAGATGCCAGACCATCATTCTTGCAAGTGCCGCATTGTATTTTACTTGGCCGTGATGTCGTGCGAAGTTGCACAAAAAACGCGAGTCCCTGGCGCCGTGCCGCATTTAATTGGGGTGCGTTAGTGTTTGGCAATAATCTGTTTTAATTGGCTTTAAGAAAGCTTTTCTCCCGCTAATGTCGTTTTTCGGAGTTCTCGCGCGTTTATGGGCCGCATCTGGCCAACACGGATCCTTGGATGCACATCGTGATCTATGCGCGTGCGACCGTGTTTACACCGAGTTATGACAAGCTGGGTCAGGGCGTAAATATTAGGACAGGCTTGTAATGTATGACGGACAGAAATCCCCACCCTTGAGCGAGAGGAGGCCCCACGAGAAAGACTTAGAGATAGAAAAACTATCAAGGAAGATTTAGACCTCTTATCGACCAAAGGCCATTTCCTGCGGTGCCTTTCATGCTCTTGGGTGCCAGAGATGTGGATATCCGAGCAATTAACTGGCTCGTGTTAACATGTCAGGGTTGTTTTTTTTCAATCACAGAGTTAAAAGAAACGTTTCAAACCATTTTAGACATTTGGAAAGCCATCATCACTGACAACTTTGAGAAGTTAAGTGGATGATACAGATGATGAGACAGGTGAAGTGTATCAAACTCTACCTGAAGGCACAGCTTCATATAACAACCTCTTAAAATACATATTTAGCTGGAGTATAAACCCTTGAAACCGGAGAATTCCCAATGCGCACTCCTGGTATGCTTAAACAAACGTTTAGCTTGTCATTACACCTCGGTTATGCAAAGTTCACTGAGAAAATCATACAGCAAGAACGTCAATGGACCACCAAGGCGGTCTGTCGACCACAACAGAGTAACCCACAATCTCTTTACCTGAGAGCCGCTTCTCACGTGCACTCTTCCAAAATGTATCCCAAGCCTTGTTAGTGGAATCCTTCACGTGCTCGCTAAAAGACCTCCTGAGTGGAGTTTTCACCGTGTGTGCCATATCCATACGCTTTCCCAAGCTGTCCAGTCGCTTTTCACTCCATCTGAGCGCGGTGAATCCTCTGAGTCCAGCTGGGAGCCCAGAGAGAAGGAGGTTTCTTCTTGCTAGCCTGACACTTGATGCAAAAAGTCTGCATGTAGTTTGCAGACACCCTCTAAAATGAGATTGTGTAAGAGAGAGAGAGAGAGAGAAAGAAAGTGGGAGAGTGAAAAGGAAAGGGGGAGAAAACTTTTTTTTCCTCCTAAGTTAGGGGTCAGAGGAGCCTGAAAAGGAAATAGCATCTACTTCGGGTTAAGCGTCACCACCCCTCCTCATCTCTAAGATAAAGTTAGTCGTGCATCTGGATGGTCACCAGTCATACACAATCATTTCTAAGAAGGACGCGAAGATAAATATTACGTTTGGATGTCTCTTTTAATGAAGGGTAGGGAACTGTGCAAGGACTGTCCCCTTTTTTCTTTATCTTTGCTTTTTCTCCAGCCGTTTTGGCTTTACCATGACTTCCCGTTTCACAGGAGAACTTCTCTGTTTTCTATATTTCATACTGTCAGCTCTTTTGGGGTTGACTCTTTGATTCCAAACAAACAATTTGGTTCTCAATAAACAGATCTGTACAATCTGTCGTGATTGGCTTTTCACAGTGTCCTCGTATTTATTGAATAATCGAAGTTCTCACTGTGTACTTACAAAGGATGACATTTATAATTAGACATAAATGTTGAAAGAGAGAATTTTCTTGTAATGCTGATCAGTGGATTCATTCTTAGGTCGTCTTCCAAATTGGAACTCTTAATCGCAATGGGTTCTAGTTACACAGTGTCATTTTCTTAATTCATATTTTTGTCTTGTTGTACACCACAAATATTTAATTATCCATATATTAAGATTTTGTTTTTGTGAGCAAAATTGCATAAGATATTTAGTTTTCTTTCTTGTTTTAAGCATAACTCTGACTAAATATAGAGATATTTGTTTAAAATATGAAAACAATTCCTAATGCAGTAAGATGTGTATTTAATTTTAATGTGTATTTAATTTTGCTTCCCATTAAAAATGTTTTGATTAAGAATATGATTTATTGCAGTGATTCAATTCCGATCACATTACTTGAAGAGACACTTGCTTTTTGTTCTATAAAATAAACCACAGTCACACTTCAAATATTAAGTTGCAAACATTAACAAACATCCACGTGTGTGCTTCATTTCTTTTTAAAAACGTTAACATTTAAAGGCACATTTACATAAATGAGCTAATTTATGTGTATACACTGCCTGGCCAAAAAAAGTCGCTGTTTGGATTTAAATAGGCAAATGTTGTGATGTTATTTTCATCAAGAGATGCATAAATGTTTGGTCAAGATCTTGAATTGACAATGCAAGAGTCAGTGTAAAGTGTACTCAAACACATCCCAAAGACTTTCAATGAATTTAAGGTCTGGACTCATGTGTGAAAATGATCCTTCATGCTCCCTCCCGACCATTCTTTCACAATTTAAGAATTTAATCCTGACATTGTCATCCTGGAATATGGCCGTGATGAGTCTTCCTACATGCTTGTTTAAGAAATGAAAAGCTACACACTCCATCAATTAGGGTTAGAAGAACTGTTGCCAGACATATAACATGCTAGAAACATAATAATCACTGCAATAATGATCCAATCATATACTCTTAAGCATATGCATATTTAAATCCAAACAGCGACCTTTTTTTGGGCTGGGCAGTGTATATTTATATATAATTTGTATTTTTCTTCTTTTATTGTTATTATTTGTAATTGTTTAATGTCAGTATTATTATTTATTATTGTGGAAGATATGTACAGCCATACATAGGCCTATATGTATGGCTGTTTTGTCATGAAACCCATTCACATGTAAGATTCCACTATGTGAAATCTATGTTGTAGAACAAAACGTGAAGGTAATTTTACTACAAAAAAAAAATGACATTCTAAAAACCCATTGTTTAAAATGACTCATTCGTTTCCAGGTTTTGGGTCTACAAAGCAGCTGCCTGTACTACAGTACTTCCTGTTGCCAGAGCAAACAGCACATGAACACATAAACTGACCCAGGCAGATTCTTCCTGCCCTAGAGAATATGTTGAGCTTCTGGCAGTCCGGATCATGGCATGTTACTGGCACAGATGCTCTGCTGCCATATGTCAGGCATAATTCAATTCTGTGTTAACATACCAAATACCCAACATGAGCAACAGATTCTGCCATCTTTGTTTATTTTTTGCTGTCGTTTCCTACCCATCTGCCTTTTTAAACTTTAAACCACAGCTTAAAAATTGCATGGCCTTGTAGTGAAAATAATCAGTGGGACTTGTCAGATGGCTAAAAAGACATCCTGCCTCCCTCCTTTGAACTCTTCCCCACAAGTGGAACGGCAGAGTACTATCACTGTTTGCAGAAACTTAGGTCAGATTGCAAATGTTGAAACTTCAAATGCGCATTCATCTCAACAGTGAAGTATAATTAGCAATGTCTTATCGTCAGCTTTCTTCCTCACGACTAAACATGGAGTTCTGCATGACTGTTTTCGGGATGAAACAGTAGTTCATGATTCTTTCATAGAGGGAACTGTCAGGGTTCTTTCTATGAAAAATCATGAACTGGCATTGTTGATTGACACACACAAACCAAATCCACTGAATATTTAGGTCACTGTGTGAACTCTTTGCATTTTTTTTTTGCATTCGTAGACTATATGTATACATACATGTGAGTTGACAATATTTTAATGTATATTATTTAACATGTTTAAAATACATAATATAATATTAACTAATTAATTACACAAGCCATAAATATACATTATTTATTACACGTTTAAAATCGATACCAATACTGATACTGATACCTACATTAATGTTTGTTTTTCCAAATTGTGAGAATTTTTTTTTTTAACTATTCAACATTATGATAATTATCATAAATATGCATGAAATCTATCCGTGAAGTGCACTACATTGTTGACTGACATACAAAAATCCACTTGTGAATTTCTAGGATTATTACGTTCCTGTGGAATTCCATGGACGCCTGTAAAGGATTGCTTTACAGTCATCTGGTTCACATTAGCAACACCATTTTTGCCCACTATGAATCTGATTGGCAAGCGACAGTGAAAATCCTTCATTGTATATTTTCTTTATGCGGTAAATCACTCTTTTGTGTTGTGCAGCGATTTGCTCAGGGGAAAGGTTACACTCACAGGACAGATGTTATGGGAAAAAACGCTCATTATTTTCACCCTGATATGGAACAGTATGTGAAGTAACAGAGGCTAATATAATTAAAAGTACCCTTCTCTGGCATACACTGCATTAATTATTTAGAGTCTTATGCAGTTATCTTTGCTCTGATAAAGATTTATTCAAGCAGTATGTGTTTTTACATGCAAAACAGATGACATGGTGGACCTTGGGGTTTGCGGTGTTGGTATAATGATATGGTAAAGGAAATCTATGCATTCATTAAAAACCAAACTTCGCTTGCCATGACTTAGTGCATGAAATCAATTCAACAAGACCACATGATCTTTCTCAACACCCATTGATTGGTTCTATATAGTCCAAACCAGCTCTGAATTCCTGCAGTACTTGTGCAATCATTGGAAAAGATGGGATGTATGATAAATGTGAATAATTGAAGCAACTTATGTACAGTTTCTGGTGGAAAAAGCAACGATTTGATTGGTGGGTCCAGTGGGTCAACAGCAAATTGCGCAACGACTCACAGATCGTTTCCATTTGGGGAGCTCTAGCCGCAAAGCAGAAGTTCTTCATTTGTAAGCTGCAAATATGCCATACTAGTCATCGGGTCGGCACCCTAATATGCTCATGTATGCGTGTGTAAACAAACCCTACAGTACAGAACGTCTCACTTGACTCAGCTGCATTCCCTTAGGATTTAATTGTTCATCCTCGCTGGCATGTCTTTTCCCAGCAATAATTAATTCTGGTCTCTCCCTCAGCTCTCTGTTCGCTCTGGAATAAAACATGATTAAAGGTGCGGTTTTCTCCATCCTTCTCACATTTGTCTCTTTCACACCATCGCTTCACACCAAGTGAAAGCACTTTGAGACTTTTAAATAGGACTTCAGTGATCACTTTACGTTGCAGTAATAAATGCACTTCATTGTATAGTGATTACAAACCCCAGCTGAACAGTGTTGTTAAGCAAACTAAAGTCATGTGTTTCAGGATGTTTGTGTTCATTCTTTCATTACTTGGAGTTTTAGGCTCGCTACTCAAATAAATTAATTTAATACTTATTACTCATTACATTACTTTTAAAACGAATATAATTACTTTACTTATTACTTGGCAACAGCAATTTGTTTCACTATTCGTTACACTATTCGGATGTAGTGCGTCCAAATTTCATTCATACTATATAAAACATACTTTTTAATGGTTGCAAAGTAAGTTTCAAACCAAATACCTACTATATAGAAAGTGATTTCAGATGCAGCACTTGTTACACAATTTAATACACATGAACAGCACTTGTGTGATCACTGTTATGACCAAGATCATTCGCTGCACATCACTCTTATTACGTGTTCATAATTCAATTCAATTCAATTCAATTCAGCTTTATTGGCATGAATGTGTACAATAGCACAATATTGCCAAAGCAATAGACATATACAAACATATAGATAAATAAAAGTGAACAATAAAAAATAAAATAAAACAATTACTAAAATATCAAACAATCAAAATAATAATTATTTGAAAATTTGTACAATTATTTATCCATCTGAGGTTCCACTGGTTGTCCATAATCCACATAATCCGCCCTGTCTCTTCCATGACAAAGTTCCACTACACTTCTTGTGTTCTGTTCCGTGTACTAACCCAGAGAAATGTTTCTACACATGAAACATGAAGCTAATAAACACACAATTACGACAGCATGTGATTTGGGCTATTTTTATAAGAATAAAGGATGTTCACATTAAAATATGCTAAGCAGGTGTAAGGATTAGCTTATTTAAAAATGCTACAACCAACATATTTCTGCCTCATCATATGACCAAAATCCACATTAGATCGCGATCGGAAGTTATTACAAACACTCGATCGGGATTTACAGTGAGTTTTGAGTAGAAGCATAGTATATAAATTTTCATGTGTAGCTTGATGCTAATTGTAACTAATTTACCTGTTACCCAGATACAATTATATTTCTGTCATGACAACTTTCGAAGTTGACGGAATAGATCTGCTACGCTGCTGCTACAGAGCATGTACGGGACCTGCTACTGCCAATACATACACAACACACTGTTGTGAGCAAGTAAGTCATGCTGGG